GCGATGGGGGAGTGGAGTTAGGATCGTCGGATGGCGGAGGCTGTCTGTTGTTGTTATTGTTGTCGTCATTGTCTTTACGGTCGCCGCCTCCGCCACGTCGGTGGTCGAGGGAATCAACCGGCAGATTTATGACGTCGGCCATATGTGGAGGGCAGTAAAAAGGAACCCTAGAAGGAAAAAAACATAGATAGTAAAATGAAAAATATAATAAAATGACAAGTGAAGCTTCCTTTTTAATTCATTTTTCGCGGGGGCTGAGGATTGAGATTTAACCTAATAAATATAATGAGTTTTTTATTTAGCTTATTATACTAAGTTAAAATTTATTTTGAGATACATGATATTTTTTTAAAGTATTATTAAAATTTATTACGTTAAGATACGAGTTTTAATAAAATATTTTTATTAGAACTCGTCCATGGGCTAAATAAAAAATCTATATATTCTACTGACTAATTTTGTCGATGATTGATAACAAAGTAAAAAAAATGGCAGAACTGTTCCACAAAATATATGCAACTAAACAACAATTTTAGGGTGCGTTTGATTCACGGAATGTAAGATTACCAGTGGGAATAAAAGATTATCAGAGAATAGGATTACTGAGAATGTTATATTTTGTGTTTGGTTGGTTTAGCAGGAATGTAAGATTACCGTGTTTGGTTAAAGGAATAAAAGATTATTAGAATGTATATTTGACCAAATTGTCCTTATTATATATTTGTATAATATTACAAATTTTAAAATATTTATATATTTTCTTTAAAAAATTAAATTCATAATATTTATATAATTTTTTTACAAAATTAAAAATATAAAAAAGATTTAATGAAAGGGTAATTTTTTTTTAACCCTTGAACTTTATATAAAAATTTAATTATATATATTTTTTTATAAATCTAAAATAATTTAAGGATAAATTTGTAATTTAACCTTCGTATAATTTTTATTATTCAATGACAGAAGAATGATATTTTTGAAAAAAAAATAAAAATTTAAGGGCATTTTAGTCCAAAACACCGGTAATGTTACAATACGGGAATGGAGGTAATGATATTCCCGGTAATATATTCCAAAAAATCTACTATTGGTAATAAAACATTACCGGGAATGAGATTCCCGGCCAACCAAACATGGGAATGTGAGATTCCCATGGGATGGGAATCCCACTATCCTTGAACCAAACACCCCCTTAAAGTAAGAAAAAAAATCACAAAATTAATTATTATTAAGTGAAAAAATATTGAATATGAGATCTATTTTTAACTTATGTGGTTCGCTAAGTAGTTGAAAATCAATATTTTAAATGATTTAATTTTGTTATTATATCATATATTGAATTTTATACATGTTTATTGTTATTAAAAGGTTACACTTATGATCATTAAAGTTAAAATAAATTTCTATTTTAATCACTAAAATTTTAAAAATTATATTATAATCATTGAATCATCATTAAAGCATAACAATAATACATTTATCATTGTATAAATGTACTACTGAAAATCTATCAAACTGAAGCATGTAAATCCAGTTTGTCTTGGAGGTTTATCCTCGGCTTATTATCCAAGTATTATGTGACAAATTCTGCTTCATGCAGTAGTTGTTAGCTTTATTAGAGCATTTACATACGGTGGAAGTCAAGTAATCTAAGGTCTGTTTCCATATTTTTATCTAACGAGCATCACAATATCAGAAAGGGATATTTGGTTGATAAATTTTTTTATTTATGACCTCTTCTTCTCTACATATGCAAAGATGGTGTAATGCTTTCTCTTTACCAAGCCTCTGAATACCCAAGGATACTTATGTTGTACACATCACCTCAATTTATATTATTGTTTATTTTTTACATAAATAGCTAGTATGTCAGATCGTTTGTTTTTTGTTTAGTTCAGAGATAACTTGGTTCATTCGTTCATCCCCTTATATTCTAGTAATTCAACATTTGTTTTCGCAGACAACATAGACTTGTGCACTGCCTTCGGCAAATATTTTTAGTGTTGTCTCAGCATTATTAACTCCGGTAAATATTGTTATGTCTTTTTAAATTAAGAATATATTTATTTATTTATTTAATTTTAAAATTTTAAACTGAATAGTAATATATACTCATAATTATTACAAATTGGTTGTGATGGAAATATGATAGTATCATTTTATTTACATACTATTATTGTTATATATATATTTATATTAGTATTGATAATGTTTATCCTTTATACTAAATAATGAAATTTATTTATATTTGCTATTTATCCTAATTATTTGATTAAATTTTTAATCTCTTTTATTATTAAGAGATTAATTTATACATTTCAATGATTTTAAAATAAATATATTGTTTATATAACTGATTTACTCTTACAATTTTTAAGATTTTTTATTTAATAAATACAATATATAGTAAATATATCAAAATAATCGTATTTTGTTATGTCATCTTGTAACCAAACTTCTCTGTTTGTTACTGTACCTGATATTACGATTAGCGCCGTAAATAAGTTAAGTCAAACTATAATATTGTTGAGTTCGACTTGACTTAAAAATTTTAAAGTGAAACTCGATTAAAAAATTTGAGAGCCTAAAATTTTTAAACTCGACTTGAACTCAAAACCATTAATTGAAACTCGAAAAATTTCAAAAAAGTTTGAAATAAAAAAATAAATCTTAAACTTAATCCAATTAAAGCTCAAACTCGAATCAGAATCTTAAATACATTTATTTTGTATTTTATTAAATCAACACATAAATATTAATATTGTTAATGATTTAATTATTAAAAAATAAAATTTTAATATATTATTCTTTCGAGTTGCTCAAAAATTTTCAAATCAAGTATGAAGTTAACTCATTTCGACTTGTTAAAAACTTAAACATAAATAACTCACAAATTATCTTGTCTCATTTACAGCTCTAAGAGTTTGAAAGTTTACTACACAACTAGACGAGCTTGAATGAACCTTACAGTGAGGAGCCGACACACACGCTAAGAAAAAGTCATACAAACCGAGTCAAATGAGGTAAGAAAAGTTATACAAACCGAGTCAAATGAGCTAAGAAAAGTTATACAAACCGAGTCAAATGATTCCTACCCTAACAGTTTCGATTCGCTTTAAAAACAAAACACACACACATAAGAGTGAACGTTGAATCGAATTGCTAAAAAAATTTAAGTTATTTATTTTATAATTTAAAGTTGATTTGGAATTTTTTCAATTCAAGTTAATTTTATAAAATTCAAGTTAATTTTTTGAATTTCTATTTAAATTTAATTATAGATATTTATAATATTATAGTATTATTTGATTTCAATTTAAATGATGTTTTATAACTATATACAATTCATATATTTTTCCTCATTTTTTTCATATGTGATATACATATATTATACTCGAGAGACTTGATTCAAACTTAAAAATCAATCTATTAATTACTAAAAATTTTGAATTATTAGAGTTACCGATTTGAGTTATTCAAGTTCTATTTTACAAACTTGATTCGAACTTGATAATTTTCGAGCCGAATTTATGAAATTACAACTCGAAATCAATTTAAGTCAAATTTTTTCGAGTCAAATCGAATCAGAGAAATTAATTTTTCATGTCGAGTTTTGCTCACCCCTGTGCACAGTTTCAATACAACAAACTCGACCACTATGTAACCGTTACTTCATTACAAGACAACGTACATCATCAGATTCAAACCCCAACATGATAAAGGTAGGAACTGGTTCATAAGTTTCAAACAAAAAAAGGCGAAAACGAAATAATAACCCCACAACCCAAATTGAAACAGTGTATCTAACTTATTTATAGAACAGGTCACATTCTATGCAATGTAAATCAGTTGCAGAATTATGGGACCTTCCACGTTTTTATTGAAGCCCATACGATAAACCTGCTAACTTCTACAGCTACCGACAAGCTAAAAATGATAGCCATGTAAGAAAAATCAGTTTTGGCTCAGTGCAAGGGGAGTAAGGTCTATCTCCTATAAGTGCTCAGTACGGCTGAGTTGACGCTCAATAGGATACGCTTTCGGCTTTGCTATTGTTTCTAGAACCACATTGAAACATCATGTTTTGGCATGATGTTCATCAACTGCTTTTAGATCTTAATTGTAATCAAACGAAGCCAAATCAAACGGAGAGCCAAACATCAATTTGGAACTGTTGTTCTTGTTGTTGCTGTTGTTGTTGTAGTTGTAGTTGGCCTCAGAGGGTGAATTCAAAGCCTTATATGGGTCAAATTGGCATTCCCCTTGTGGAAACATCTGATTATCATGGGGCATGTTTGACTCATCGAAAAAGTTTCCCTCCATCATGATGCCTTGACCACATAAGAATTCTTCCTGTTGTGGCTGGAATTTCTGCTGAATAAGATTTTGACCTTCTGTAACCGGATTTTTACAGGGATTCAGGTGCTTGTTGCATTGAACATTGCTATCGTATATCGACATGAGCTCAGTGATCATTTTCTGTCCATCTTCCGGATCTCAGAGACCTGATGATCGAATGGTGCTGGGACAGAAGTAATAGACGTTGCAGCCGGCTTTGGTTGTGCAAATGATTGAGGGAAGATGACTGCTTTCACTTCATTCGCGTTAAAATCCACACCATTGAACTGTGCAGAGGAGTTTCTCTGCGGACAAGTTAGTTGATATCCTTAGACGGTTTCCTCTTTCGTACCAAATCCAAATTAACAACTTCTCCCTTAAAAGGAAAAGTTGGTTGCTGGATAATCCTCATTCTATCTGTACCCAAGTTCGATGAATTCAGATTAACAGGTTTGCACTCTTGTATATCAAAGCTTGCTTCATCTTCCGCCCCCTCAACATCATACTCACTGCAGTCATTTCTAACCAAGGACCCACTTTCTCCACTCGAGGACAATGGTGGGCAGGAATCAGGGTAAAGATCACGGGCCAACGCCTCCTCCTGGTTAATGATAGCGAGCCAAGTCGCACTTTCTTTTGCAGTCATCTTGTCCTGCAAACACTTACTGCCGTACAAGCTTGCGGATCTTGTCAATATCGGGAAACATATGCTTGATTACAGCTGTAAGAACCCCCACTTTCCAAGACTTCTTCAAGTCATGAGGTTTCTTATAAGGAGGAGGGCCTTGATCTTTGGACAATCCTAATTGTGGCCACCATGGAGGAGGGACATCTTTCTCTAAAGGAAAGCACCTTTGAGGTGGATCACAGTGTTGTATCAGTGCAGACAAAATAGAACCAAGAGTTGTATCTTGAAGTTCTTGCAAGGTATGTGGTGTCGGGGCGATCGAGTTACAGCCATCATTCTTGCCAGGAATCAATTTGTCCGCCTGGTACTTTGCGATAGCAGCAGGACCATTACGATCAAACCTTACTTTATCCCGTTGATAATGCTCAATCCACATAGTATTGGAAACACTATTGGAAATGAGTATTTATAGTATGGAATTCCCATTTCCTTGTTGAGTGAAAGAGAACAAGGGGGACTCTCGCGCGCCGCCGCCGTCCGTCTCGTCTAGTCTCGGCTCGTGGTCGTGGTCGTACGTGTCTTCGACACGTCCGCGCGGATACTATCTTTTTAGAGAAAATTCTTGAAGAATTTCTCTTTGAAAGAAACAAATGAAAAAATGTAAAAGATTTCAACTGATATTTATAGGTTGTTGAATACTGTTTAATTTCAAATGATAACAGCTGGTTTATGAGAGTTATCAGAAATTAAACAGCTTTTCCTAAATTAAATAAAAAACGTTAAGATGTATCTGGACTGATTTCCAGCTTTGTACAAAGGAGACAAGCTGTTAATATCAGGAGTTCCAGGAGTTATTTGATTTAATTCCATGGGTTACATGATACAATGAACATGGACTATTTTTGAGTCTGGTTCATCTAAACGTTTCAGCTGTTACAAAAGAAGAGATTTAATTCTGAAATTTTATGGACGATTTTAACCCTATTTCTAGCCTATAAATAGAGGGCTATATTCAGTTTCTCAACTCACTCTCAACATTCACAATTCACTTTCAAAGTGTTTTCTGCAATTATTCTTTCTGTGCTTTCCGATAAGAAGAGCAATACCACTGACAGTCCACTTCGATTTCGGGTGTACGGAATTCGGAGCGACCGTGTTAACCTCGGGGGACGGTCCGCCTACTGCAGTGATTACACACATCGGGGCGAATTTGTTTCTAAGGCAGTGGTTATACCACGACACAGTTTACGAATCTGTTCCTTTTAATTACTGTTTATATTTACAGTCAGTGCTAACGGTGTAGTTTTGCAGTTCATATATCCAACAATTTAGAAACGAATTCCATATACTGCAATCATGACAACACCTTTGAGCAAACTAATCCCCGATCTTTCCAAGCTCGATGCACTTGATGGAAAGAATTATAGAAGGTGGTCCCAAAAAATCCTGATATTCTTCGAGCAGCTTGACTACGTGCTGCTCAAGCCACCACCTACCATGCCGCCAACCCCAGCTGCCGGTAATGATGTGGATGTGGTCCTCAATGATGATGCCTTAGCAACTGCCGCTGCCGCTCTCGCTATCTACGAGAAAGACAACAAGACGGTGCGAGGACATCTGCTCAGCCACATGTCAAATAAACTATTTGATATGTTCCTTAGAGAAAGGAGTGCCAAGGCAATATGGGACACTCTCGACAAAAAGTATGGTGCGGACGATACGGGCATCAAGAAGTATGTTGTTGGCGAATGGCTCAAATTCTAGATGACAGACGACAAGCCAATAATGGATCAAGTCCATGACTATGAGAACTTAGTCGCTGACATCATCGCTGAAGGGATGCAAATGTGTGAGGTGCTGCAAGCCAATGTACTCATTGAGAAGCTACCCAAGTCCTGGTCCGACTACCGCAACTCTCTTAAGCATAAGAAGAGAGACATTTTGCTTGAAGAACTTGTGGCCATATGAAGATTGAAGAAGCCAACCGTTTAAAAGATAAGCTTACTAATTTTATGAGTAATTTATCTTTTAAAGCTAACTTGGTTGAGTCAAAATTTAAGAAGATCATGAAACGTTGGAATCAAGACAATAAGACGAAACCACATAAGGCTACCAACTTCAAGAAGTCAGGAAAGACCAAACCGGAAAGAAAGACGTTCAAGTGTTATGTCTGTAGTTTACCCGGCCACAAAGCTTACCAATGCCAACACCGCTCAGACAGCCAGAATGAAAACAAGCCACAGATGCACGTTGTAGAAGAAGATGATGAGATCATTGTTGCGGTGGTCTCAGAAGTTAATCTGGTGGAGAACAGTTCAGAATGGGTAGTTGACACTGGCGCTTCGAAGCATTTCTGCGCAATGAAGGAGTTTTTCACCGAGTTCGATGATGGGAACATTGGTGAATGTGTGTACATGGGGAACTCTAGCAGTTCTGAAGTGTTAGGCAAAGACAAGGTTTTACTTAAGCTGACTTCTAGTAAAACTCTGGCTTTAAATAATGTTATGTATGTACCTGCCTTGCGTAGAAATTTGATAAGTGGTGGGCTTCTGAATAAGGCATGCATTAAGTTAGTTTTTGAGGCAGATAAACTTGTACATTCCCGAAATGGTGATTATGTGGGGAAAGGGTTTTTAAGCAATGGTTTATTTGCCATAGAAACTCAATTTAATGAAAATAAAGCTACCACTTCTGCTTATATTGTTGAATCCATTGATATGTAGCATGCTAGATTAGGACATGTGAATATTCATGCTTTAAAGAAATTAATGAATATGAATGTTCTGTCTAAACTAGACACAACTAGCTTTAACAAATGTGAGATTTGTGTAGAAGCTAAGCATACTAGACCTCACTTTAAGACTGTTTCTAATAGAAAGACTGAACTGTTAGAACTCATTCATACTGATCTAGCAGATTTTAGAAACACTGAAAGTAAAGGAGGAAAACACTACTACATAACTTTTGTAGATGATTATTCAAGATATACAAAAGTTTATCTCCTAAGAACTAAAGATGAAGCTGAAAACTTCTTTCTTATTTATAAGGCAGAAGTAGAAAATCAGTTAGATAGGAGAATCAAACGGGTTAGATCTGATAGAGGTGGTGAATATGGATCTAATTTCTTAAAAGATATTTGTGAAAAGAATGGCATAATTCATGAAACTTCAACCCCCTATTTTCCTCAACAGAATGGTATAGCCGAAAGGAAAAATAGAATTTTAAAAGAGATGGTGAATTCTTTACTAATAAGTTCAGGGTTATCTGATGACATATGGGGGGAAGCATTCTATCGACAATTCATATCTTAAACCGAGTTCCTCATAAGAAATTAGATTCTACCCCATATGAATTGTGGAAAGGATACGCTCCTAATTTACAATACTTGAAAGTGTGGGGGTGTCTGACCAAAGTGGGTTTGCCAGACTTTAAGAAGTCCACCATCAGACCTAAAACTATTGATGCAGTGTTTATAGGGTATGCTACGAATAGTGTTGCATACAGATTCATGCTTTTACAAGATTATTCTATTTGTGAGTCAAGGGATGTTGTTTTCTTTGAAAATAATTTTCCTTTAAAGGAATCGAGAATAAATATTGAAACACAAATAGAATATATTTCATCCACTTATTCTAGTAATCCTGCTAGGTCTTCTGAACAAATTGATTTCGAGCCTAGAAAACGTAAAAGGCAAAGAGTTGAAACCTCTTTTGGACCAGACTTTATTACTTCCTTTATTTATGAGATAAATGATTTAGACTCCATTTCAGATCCTATAGCTCAAATTTTTCTGTTAGATGAGGATCCTAAAACTTTTGAAGAAGCTATAAGATCTATCGATGCTATTTTTTGAAAAAGCGCTGTTAGTGATAAACTAGAATCGATAATGTCTAATCATACTTGGGAATTAGTTGACTTGCCTAAGGGATTCAAACCAATCTCCAACAAATGGGTCTTCCGGAAGAAACTAAGGCCAGATGGTTCGATTCAGCGGTACAAGGCAAGGTTAGTCGTCAAAGGGTTCACTCAAAGGTTTGGTTTAGACTATTTTGATACAAATTCTCCCGTTACAAAAATCTCAACGATTCGTGTATTATTTGCACTAGCCTCTATTCATAAGTTGCAGGTACATCAAATGGATGTTAAGACTGCTTTCTTGAATGGAGATCTAGATGTGGAGATTTACATAGAGCAACCACTAGGTTTTGAAGCACCTGGTATGGAAGGCAAAGTCTGTAGACTCAAAAAGTCACTCTATGGACTTAAGCAGGCTCCTAAACAGTGTTATGAGAAATTTCATAAAACTATTCTTAGTTTTGGTTTTGTTGTGAATGGTTCGGATGCTTGTGTGTATTCGAAGATGTTTGACACTGAATGTGTTATTATAAGTCTTTATGTTGATGACATGTTGATTTTCAGTTCTAACATTGAGTCTATTAACAAAGTTAAAAATTTCTTGTCCACTAAGTTTGAGATGACAGATTTGGGAGAAGTAGATGTAATCTTAGGAGTCAAAGTTACCAAAACTGAGAAGGGATTTTCTTTATGTCAAGCACATTATATAGAGAAAGTGCTAAAGAAATTTGACAGTTTTGATGTCATCACTGTTCGAACTCCTTATGACCTAGCATACATCTAGTTAAGAATAAAGGAAGTAGTGTTTCCCAAACTGAATATGTTAAGTTAATCGAAAGCTTAATGTTCTTAATGAACTATACTCGGCATGATATTACTTATGCTGTGAGTAGACTGAGTAGATATACTCATAATCCGAGTGGTGATCATTGGATTGCTCTTAAACGCTTACTGAAGTATCTTAAGGGTACTTTGGATTGGAAACTTGAGTTTGTTGGCTTTCCTGCGGTACTGGAAGGATATTGTGATGCCAACTGGGTTTCTGATAATGATGAGGTAAGCTCTACGAGCGGGTATGTTTTTACTTTGGGTGGAGCAGCAATCTCGTGGAAATCATCAAAGCAGACTTGTATTGCTCGTTCTACTATGGAGTCAGAGTTTATAGCTCTTGACCTAGCTGGGCAAGAAGCCGAGTGGCTCAGAAGTTTGTTAGCAGATATTCCGTTGTGGGGAAGACCGACTCCTCCAGTTTCATTATTGTGTGATTCACAAGATGCGATATGTGTGGCTATGAACCAAGCTTACAATGGTAAGAAAAGACACATTCGTATAAGACATGAGTCAATGAGACACTTAATAAAGAATGGAGTGCTCTCTTTAGAGTATGTGAAGTCGGAAAGGAACCTAGCAGATCCACTTACCAAAGGGTTAAGTCGGAAGCTGGTCCTAGATTCGTCGAGGGGGATGGGTCTAAAGCCCATTGGTTGAGGAATTCATGGTGGATACCCAACTTAGTTATCTAAGTTCCATGTGGTCAAACGAAACCATGGAAAGACTCATAGTGCACATTCCTACTGCCTA